TATACTATAAGAGTAGGCCGAGACTACTATATTTGGTACATGGAAAGTGATCAAGGATAAAGTTACGTGATTAGGTCCGTTTTTCATATACTATAAGAGTAGGCCGAGACTACTATATTAAGTACATGGAAAGTGATCAAGGATAAAGTTACGTGATTAGGTCCGTTTTTCATATACTATAAGAGTAGGCTGAGACTACTATATTTGGTACATGGAAAGTGATCAAGGATAAAGTTACGTGATTAGGTCCGTTTTTTATATACTATAAGAGTAGGCTGAGACTACTATATTAAGTACATAGAAAGATCAAGGATAAAGTTACGTGATTAGGTCCGTTTTTGATATACTATAAGAGTAGGCTGAGACTACTATATTTGGTACATGGAAAGTGATCAAGGATAAAGTTACGTGATTAGGTCCGTTTTTCATATACTATAAGAGTGGGCTGAGACTACTATATTAAGTACATGGAAAGTGATCAAGGATAAAGTTACGTGATTAGGTCCGTTTTTCATATACTATAAGAGTAGGCTGAGACTACTATATTTGGTACATGGAAAGTGATCAAGGATAAAGTTACGTGATTAGGTCCGTTTTTTATATACTATAAGAGTAGGCTGAGACTACTATATTTGGTACATGGAAAGTGATCAAGGATAAAGTTACGTGATTAGGTCCGTTTTTTATATACTATAAGAGTAGGCTGAGACTACTATATTTGGTACATAGAAAGTGATCAAGGATAAAGTTACGTGATTAGGTCCGTTTTTGATATACTATAAGAGTAGGCTGAGACTACTATATTTGGTACATGGAAAGTGATCAAGGATAAAGTTACGTGATTAGGTCCGTTTTTCATATACTATAAGAGTGGGCTGAGACTACTATATTTAGTACATGGAAAGTGATCAAGGATAAAGTTATGTGATTAGGTCCGTTTTTCATATACTATAAGAGTAGGCTGAGACTACTATATTAAGTACATAGAAAGTGATCAAGGATAAAGTTACGTGATTAGGTCCGTTTTTCATATACTATAAGAGTAGGCTGAGACTACTATATTAAGTACATAGAAAGTGATCAAGGATAAAGTTACGTGATTAGGTCCGTTTTTCATATACTATAAGAGTAGGCCGAGACTACTATATTTGGTACATGGAAAGTGATCAAGGATAAAGTTACGTGATTAGGTCCGTTTTTCATATACTATAAGAGTAGGCCGAGACTACTATATTAAGTACATGGAAAGTGATCAAGGATAAAGTTACGTGATTAGGTCCGTTTTTCATATACTATAAGAGTAGGCTGAGACTACTATATTTGGTACATGGAAAGTGATCAAGGATAAAGTTACGTGATTAGGTCCGTTTTTCATATACTATAAGAGTAGGCTGAGACTACTATATTAAGTACATAGAAAGATCAAGGATAAAGTTACGTGATTAGGTCCGTTTTTGATATACTATAAGAGTAGGCTGAGACTACTATATTTGGTTCATGGAAAGTGATCAAGGATAAAGTTACGTGATTAGGTCCGTTTTTCATATACTATAAGAGTGGGCTGAGACTACTATATTAAGTACATGGAAAGTGATCAAGGATAAAGTTACGTGATTAGGTCCGTTTTTCATATACTATAAGAGTAGGCTGAGACTACTATATTTGGTACATGGAAAGTGATCAAGGATAAAGTTACGTGATTAGGTCCGTTTTTTATATACTATAAGAGTAGGCTGAGACTACTATATTTGGTACATGGAAAGTGATCAAGGATAAAGTTACGTGATTAGGTCCGTTTTTTATATACTATAAGAGTAGGCTGAGACTACTATATTTGGTACATAGAAAGTGATCAAGGATAAAGTTACGTGATTAGGTCCGTTTTTGATATACTATAAGAGTAGGCTGAGACTACTATATTTGGTACATGGAAAGTGATCAAGGATAAAGTTACGTGATTAGGTCCGTTTTTCATATACTATAAGAGTGGGCTGAGACTACTATATTTAGTACATGGAAAGTGATCAAGGATAAAGTTATGTGATTAGGTCCGTTTTTCATATACTATAAGAGTAGGCTGAGACTACTATATTTGGTACATGGAATGATTGTAGGTGCACATGTCTATCTAGCAGGGTTCGTCTGAACTTGGCCTCATTTGAATTGTTCATTGGTCAATATTCAGTTTTCGTGGTTTGAATAGTTTCTCAGATAAATTTGTATAAGCAAAATGTCAACTATATTTTGTGCATAGAATGATTGTAAGGTGTCCATATACATACCTGTCGGGCACTAGGGACCATCTGGCCATTTCCTCATTTCATGCATCAGTGATCAAAGTTAAAGTTATACGGTCTGGTCCGTTTCTAAGATACTATAAGAGTAGGTCAACTATATTTGGTGAATGGAATGAATGTAGGTGCACATGTCTATCTGCCAGGTATCATCTGACCTTGATCTCATTTTTATGTTTCCTAAGTCAACGTAAAGTTTTGTGTTTTGGTCTGTTTCTAAGAAATTTTAAACTTTAAGCAATATATTAAAGTTATGTGGTCAGGTCAATTTCTCATATATTATAAGAGGTCAATTATATTTGGTGTATGGTATGATTGTAAGGTGTTCATGTCTGTCTGGCAAGTATCATCTGACCTTGACCTCATTTTCACGGTTAATTGGTCAATGTTAAGTTTTCATGGATAGGTGTGTTCTTCAGATACTATGAGCAGGAAGTTCACTATGTTTAGTGTATGAAACGATTGTAAGGTGTACATGTCCGTCTGGCAGGATTTATCAGACCTGGACATCATTTATATGGATCATTGATAATGGTAAATTTATGTTATGCTTGTAGTAAAACCTTTATCTTAAAAGCTTTTGTCATAAAATCAATAATTGCACTCCTGTTTGTTTTAATAAATTAATAGAAAATGTTCTTTATACAAAATAACAAAATTCAAAAGTAGAAAATTTTTCTCGGTTTTTTGAGAGTCTATGATGCACCAAATTTATCAAATGTTATTTTCATTGACAATATATCATTTCACCATTAATGCAGAGTGCCTTTCAAAATTCAATATAACAATAATTTGAATGACTGCTTTCAGGTGGTCTTGATTACTGACCTTCCCCTTCCAAGCCCAAATGTTTTTGATAGTTTGTTCTTGTTATGTGTCCCTGGCTAGGGAGAAGGTTCAGCACTAATAATCATGTTTGACCACACCACATTGCTTATGTAATAATAAAACGAGGTATGATTGCCAACTAGACAACTACATGGCAGATAACAAAGGATAGGGATGTAGGCAACTATAGGTAATTTACAGCCTTCGTTAATTAGCCAAACCCATACTATATAGTAAGCTATAAAAGTCCCTGGCAATACAAATTGTGGAACAATCCAATAGAGAAAACCAACGACCTGATTTTTGCTACAAAAAAAAAACAAGTGTGCGCTAAAATGCCTCTCCTCCTTTACTGATCATGTTTGAATTTATTATCAAATGGGCATCATATACTAATGGAAAACTACTTTTCTAAGTTTGATGAAGATGGCACACAACAGTGTTTTTTCTGTATTGCTGTCAAGTGACATAGATTTTTAAGGTAAAGGGTTCCCCTTAATATTTTTTTGTTAAAATGACCAATTTAATAAGGTTTTGTTGATCATTCAGCAATAACCAATAGGATCAAATACAGAAAAAGCCTCCAAAACCACAAATCTCTATGTTTCAATATTTTCTTATCTTGTCAACCACATCAATATATCTACTTGTATGTCAGGACTGTAAAGGTAAAATAATCAAGTTAAAACAGTTTAAACCATACTAGATCTATTTTATTCTGATAAAAAAAAATGCAAAGCCATATGAATTTTCCAGACCTTACTTCAAATTTGAATTTGAGGTGCTTTTAGAAAAATAATTTGCATGTGAAAATATGGACAGTGCCTTTGACCTCTGACCTCTAACAGGGCTGAATATTGTTTTATTAGTAAATTTGTTCTCATTCTGAATACCCATTAAATATTGCCAACTGGACATTGAGCAAGAAACAATTAATCATTTTATAGGGCTCATTTTGTTTTCATGCAGAACCAAGCACAATGTTTAGCCAATGTAAGAAGGAACCAAAGCACAATGTTTAATCAATGTAAGAAGGAACCAAAGCACAATGTTTAGCCAATGTAAGAAAGAAGGAAAGCACAATGTTTAACCAATGTAAGAAGGAACCAAAGCACAATGTTTAACCAATGTAAGAAGGAAAGCACAATGTTTAGCAAATGTAAGAAGGAACCAAAGCACAATGTTTAGCCAATGTAAGAAAGAACCAAAGCACAATGTTTAACCAATGTGAAAGGAACCAAAGCACAATGTTTAGCCAATGTAAGAAAGAACCAAAGCAATGTTTAACCAATGTAAGAAGGAACCAAAGCACAATGTTTAACCAATGTAAGAAGGAACCAAAGCACAATGTTTAGCCAATGTAAGAAGGAACCAAGGCACACTGTTTAGCCAATGTAAGAAGGAACCAAAGCACAATGTTTATTTAATGTAAGAAGGAATCAAAGCACAATGTTTAACCAATGTAAGAAGGAACCAAAGCACAATGTTTAGCCAATGTAAGAAGGAACCAAAGCACAATGTTTAACCAATGTAAGAAGGAACCAAAGCACAATGTTTAACCAATGTAAGAAGGAATCAAAGCACAATGTTTAACCAATGTAAGAAGGAACCAAAGCACAATGTTTAACCAATGTAAGAAGCAAGATTTATTGTTCATCAGGTAACATTTATTCAACAAGATGATCCATTACCTAAAGCTTGAAGAAGCTAAAACATATATTATAACTCTATTTGGTCTAAAATATTGAAGGCATATGGACTGACAGAAAAATGCCTTAATGTATTTCTTCTATGCCAAAAAACATAATAAAACTATCTTAACACACAGCACAAATCGATAAAATTGTCAACAATTATCTTAAATAACAAAACAGGAAACAAGTTTCTATTCCTCATTTTATTACTAGGATACAAAAAGTACTTAAAGAATTTCTATAGAAAATGCAAGACACACAATTTAACAGAATATGTCACTTAGAAAAGGGGATTTTTTTGGGGTGCAACTTTGTTTTGTAATCAGGAACAAATTTATTTTTCCCATTTCAGCAGAATTCAGAGCAATTCATTTTCTCAATTTTGGAACTTTGTTGATGTTATCAATTGATACTTGCTAAAGTTGCATAGAAAAAGCTCAAGAAATTTAGTTGTTTAAAGTATTTGTTTCACTTTAAACATACATGTCCATTACAATTTCTTTGAAAACTGTCTTTTAACTGATACACAAGTATCTCAAACAACTGACAACAATCTTAACTCCAACTTCAGTATGAAAAACTATCAGATATATTTCTCTATGAAAACTGATAGATTGCTTTACTCACTAAAATAAACCACAAATATGTTGTTCTCTATAAATCAAGGTAAGTCCTTGCAAAAAGAAAAAGGCCACTCTTAATGGGTCATTTCCAATGTGGAAAAACTGTTGACAAAACATTTTGTATGATTTTATATTGTTAATAAAGATCATCCTTTGTTTAATTTATTAAAGTTCTGGTACAATTTTTGTGGTTTTCTTCAGTTAAAAAAAAATTGTTTTGTTACTGTTACATTTTTCCAGTTCAAGAGGATGATGAAGGAGAAACCAATCATTTATATGGTCTTTAAATGTTGCATATGTCCAGTGCAGATTAAGCTACCAAAGTTGGACTATCCCTGACCTAAGATTTCTCTGACCTTACCAGACCAGAAGTGTAGGAAATCTGAACTCCCAAAGTTCATGACAACTTTAGTTATTAAGTCAATTTTGGTAAACTTTTGTTAAAATATGCTGACTACAGTTTTTGAAGTATTAGGTATGTAGAAGGTAATATTATAAGCATTAAAGAAAATACATCTGAATATATAAATGAAATTATTGATTATATGGTCTATCTTTTATTTCTATCTAGTTAAAAGAAAAATAAAGTGTGGGAACTACTTATTCAATTGATGAACTGATTTTTATATCCTTCCCAAAATGTGGTACTTAAACCACTTTTAAATCAAAACAACTTTGTCAGTAGTATGTCACGATGTTCTCCTGAAAAGACAGCAACAGAATGTACAGACCAAATCCAATAAAATTGCTTCCTTCTTAATTTGTCACTTATTTTTAATATAGTTTATAATTAGAGATTAGTCTCTCATCTCTCTAATAAATGTGATTTCTACAATTAAGCTACATAGAAAATGCACAAATTTAACCAAAATTTCAAAAGCAACAGAAAAATTATAACTTTAAGTTCTTTTTTTGGCATTATCAGGTACAATATAACAATCAAGAAAACTTAAAGACATTAAAAGTATGAATGAAATTAAAGAAAATGATTTCCTTAAATATAAGAGAACTAGTGTCTACAGTACAATTCAAAATGAGAGATTAAGTTTCCATTAATCATTTAATCTTTGTAGTAACAAATATACACTAACATCAACTATTCCAGTCATGTTACAAAATAGGACAAATACAGAACATTCAAAGAATAAAAAAAATAAGCATATAGATGTATATCCAGTATGATCTTTGCCAATTACTGATTTGATACTGTTATTACACACTTTTACCACAATAAATTTACTCTTTCTGGCAATGGAAATTTCTCTCTCTCACAAGTGATTCAATTGTATCTCTAATTACAGATTCAAGTATTTAATTGAAAAAATAGACCATTTTAGTTACGACTTTAGATAATGGAAACAAAGATCTCTCATATTTTGCTATGATCATTCATTAACATTGACTGTGATTGTCTTTCCTTTAGGATCATCATATCTGTCCATGGTTTTCAATGAAGCAATCATCCCTAATCCATACAGAACAATCAATATCATGATGGAGACACTGATAATGGCCATCCATATCCCTGGCGTGAAGAATACTATACAGTCCCAACCATCAGAGAACTGTTCATCCATTATATTGAATGGCTGGAACTGAAATGTATAATAAAAAAACTAAGTTAATTTAAAATTATTTCACATAGGTACAAGTCGTCACCTTGAATAAAGACAAAGATGTTCATACTTATTTCTTCTATACTAATACATTATAAATGTTATTCAAAGACTTACTTACTGACACAATCATTCCTTAAAAAATGACTGCCCCCCTCTATGGTTATCAAATATCATTTAGACAGTATAAAATAGCCATGGACTTAAAGTATACCTGAAGACCATCAAACATCAATGTGATATTAGCAGTTGAATTGGCACGTAAGGTGGTAATCTTGTACATCGAGCAATGGTAAGAGAAGTGTTTTGGTGCCATTAGGTCTCCTGGTTTGATGACTAGGGTCTCATTAGCACTGACAGTCTTACTGCTGTTTTTCCATTCTAGGAATACCATATTCTCTCTAATAATCCAGAATTCTGTTATGTTGTCAATCCACATGGACCATCTGTTATAAGAAAATATTTACAAGGATAAAAGTTAGTTACAAAAATTAAAATAGGAGGGGGGTAATGGGGGGTTTTCATCACGGTTCAAGAAATGTTAAATTTGATGATCACAGTTCACAGGAAATACAACAAAACTGTTCACGAAAAACAACAGTTAAACATCTTCACCACTGTTCACAAAAAAACGACGATTTAAAACCTTCATCACGGAGAACGGTTATCAAATTGAATTGAAAACGAGTCACGAAATGCACTAATCACGAGTCACGGATAATAAATCCATGAAAAAGCGAATCACGGAAAGCAAACATCCACGATCACGAAGGACGAAAATAACCCATCAGCCCCCTCTAATATGAACAAGTTTTGCTTGATGTAAGTTACCTACTGTTGAAAGTCCGTCTTTTGTGTCATATCAATTGTGTCTTTTAAATACGATGTCAACTACATATACATCAGTGGTCCTTATCAATAAAGCTAATGGAAGACATGTGGGTTTGATCACTAGGATGGCAAAAACCCATTTACTATGAAATAAGTATAAGCTATTTATCCACTTAGCATTTTGCATTTAGGAAATGATGAGCAAATAAAAGATTGGTAGGCTTTGAGACTGAATAATATCATCCAGATTAGTGCTACCTTGACGGCTAGTGAATATAAAATTTGACCTCGATATCATCTTATGTTGGTCTATCCAAAGCAGTGAATATCATTTGACATTTAAATGTTCTCATGCTGAATTTGCTTGAAATGTATTCAGCTGTACCTTTTAAGTATTAACTATCAGTCAATTAATAAATACTATGTTCATAAATTTAAAATAAAATATTTTTTAACAAATAAACGTCATTTATTAGAAAATCTTATTTAGTTTTAACAAAGTGACTTTGGACAATATAAAAAAAAACAAATGCAAAAGCAAGTCTTTTACATGAACATAATACTCTGAAGGATAGTATTTTATATATTATTTTGTTGGAGACAAACAGTTATGAATTCTTTAGTGTTTTGTATTTTGGTCTGTCTCTTCAGCACTTCATGGAGGGTTTTTTATCAGTGATTTTTGGGAAATGCCATATAGAGTAATATTGGCCAACATTTTTGTAGTTTTTAAGAAATTAAGAATGTAAGTCATTTCTGAATGTCCAAAGTGATAAAAAAGCATAAGTCAAATAATGTTAATGTTTTGAATATTAATATCTACAATGTATTATTATATCTATATACAGTCACTAGAAATTAACTTAATTGCCAAGGTAGTCACATTTATGTCTTAAGTGGCTCTTATGTGGTTGAGGTCCACAATTCCATTCAAACCTCGGACATAACTAAGACTTAAAATGTGTTGCTGTTTGACTGACAAGCATGTTATATATTTGAGTAAGGGCAAAGAACTGTCAGTTCAGAGACAAAATAATATGCCTGGCTGATGAAATATTCCTGCAGGCTGTTTCCATCTAGCATGTTCAATATCTGATTGGTCTAGTACAAAGCAGGGATTGCCTAGGTATATTCATCTCACATTTACATGTACAAGTTATTATTTAGAATATCCATGTTCTATTTTGCACTGAGTCTTAAACATTCATAAATCAATTTTACTATCATTTAAACTGATAACTTATATTTATTTTTATATTGTTTCAACATCACGAGAGTAGATTTTAGACAAGACAGTCATTACATATGCAGATTATAAAAATTCTGGAAGACAAATAGCAAAGTTTGTGTATTAATAATTACTTACTCCAATTTTAATGTCATTTCTTCTGCACTGCCTTTCAGCTTTAACCTGGAATTTGGTAAATTTATGTATATCTTATTTGTTATAATTCATCCAGTTATGGAGCAAAATATAAAACTTATTTATCTCATCTAGTTGACCCATACTTTTTTTTCTCCATGAAAGTCCATATCTACCAAATGTGTTTCAACTTTTGTTCCTATATGAAGCCAATATAAAATCAATCATGATTTCTATATGACAATTGGAATCAATACAACAACATTCTTACTAAAAAATTTAATTTCAAGTGCAAGCAAACAAATATGTTACATTTCATATGTTTGGTACAGACATTACCAGTAGACTGATCTCAAAAAGAACACTAATTTATTTACCACAAAACTGAAGATAGATAGAAAGATACTGCAGGGTCTTAGCTAAGTAGTCTTAAGCTACTAGTTGTGGGGACTATTTTATGATTAAATAGACAAAAAGTGCCTACAGATTACATGTAATTTATTAATTCTATTACAAAATTATATTATCTGAATTACCTGCCCCACCCCTCATATTTTTTTTCTTTTTTGTATTTGTAAATATTGTTATTACTGTATGATAATGTATGATAAATATAGATTCTTCCATAACAACCTGTTAATAAATATTGCAAGCTATGACATGGAAGATTGAATATACTTCTGTAATGATTAAAAAGAAAAGTCCCCCCCCCCCTTATCCACAGCAAGTTAAATCTCCTGGTCAGAAATGCATCAAAATGTAAATAAATGTATATCTAAAACTTACACAGCTGTATCATTGTCACAAGAGGTGCCATCATCTTCCAGTGTGACGTTATTATTATTGTAATTTGACTCGTTACTCTGCGCCATTACTTCTAGACCTCTCAGATAGAAGTAGAATGGTGAGTTCCTGCCAGGACAGGTAATATTCAAAAATGTGGCATTGCTGTTAGCCACATCATCTACAGCTTGTAGTCTTCTGCTTGCACCAGAACCCTGAACATTAGAAGTCTGGAAAGAGTTCATAAAAACTGTAATTTCATGGTAATGATGATAGCTTCAAAGACTAATATACAACAATTAAAGGCCACCAGGAGCTTCTATCCCTTAATATAAACCTGGTTCATGTATCATGGTATCATGTCTGCTACTTTTATCATATCCAGACATTGGGAAGAGCCCTCCCCAAAAAAACAGCATCAATTAAATATTGTGTATTCCTATTGACAGGAATATAAGAGTTTAAAACTTGGCTGAGACAAATATTAATAATTTTTAAACATGAAATAGGGAAATAAAATAATCTGAAAAAATTACTTTCATTCTCGGACAAAACAAACCTCTAAATATTTTCTCAGTAAAGTTTAAACTAACAGATTCAGGTGATTGTCAGAAGGATCATGCAAGTGAAAAGTTTGAAGCACTATTAAACTTCCTTATTCACCATATGTGAATAATTATAGTGGTATTCAGCGGGTACTGTCTAGTAGGACTCCTTTACAAGCACATGTATGAAATGATTTACCACAGAACTACACATAATGATCAATGTATACCTTTGTTGCACTTTTTCCTGTATACACAGCTGTGTATTTGACCCCTCGTTTTGTTAGCTGTTTAGTTACTTCAGCCATTTTCACATCTGTAGGAAGATAATACATACATTTTAAGTGACAGTATTAAATTTAACATATTGCAATAGAAGATTATAAAGTACTATGAATCAATATTTCATTTTTTTTTTACCCAATACAATGCATGCTTACCAAAGTAATCAATTGTCATTTGAGTTTAAATGTATTACAATGAACTAATAAATATGGTAATTGGCCATGTATAATCTGTATACCGGGTAGGTACAAATCCTGTATTGCAGTGTATTCTAACAAAACACATTCAATTTCATTACCAGTCTCTGGGCAGAAACAGATACAATTTCAATACCACATGAGTATTTAATGCGCAGACCTGGTATTTCATCTTACCATACATTTAGGCTTTGGGGTATTGACTTCTTTTTATATAAAAGTTATCCAAATAATTTATTTTTCACCTAATCTTACCATTGTCTGAAAAAACTTTCCCTTCATTACTAGATCCCTGAACTGGTTTTAAGTGAACAACGATTATGTTAGCTTGTCCTCCAAGATTAAGTTTGTCAAGGTCAGCAGATTCCATAACTTTATGAACTTTGCCCTCAAAGTCTTTCATTATGTTCTCTAGACCAGTCCATGGAGACATAACTGATGATATCTGTGCCGAAAAATGGTCTTCCATAAAGGACTAAAACAAAAATGTAAAAAATTGGAAATCAAAAATAGTTTAAACAAATTTCCTTTATTCTTTTGCTACCTGTATATTGTTAATACAATCTATATAACAGGATAATTCAAATTAAGTTCACTACATTGGTATGGGTAATAATTAAATTAATCTATGTATAAACAATTGTAAGTAAATTGCTTGAAACTTAGTCTGTTTCTGTTGATAAGTGCTTTAACAGGTCTTCTCTCTGCCTGCATCATTCTGCTCAGCTCCTCATAAAATTTCATGTCACAGCATTGTAACATCAAATATAAGGACCCAGCTTTGGCATAACACACTGATATATCACTAACCTCATAGTGTTTGAATCAATGTTGATAAGTTTCACCTGATCTTATCAGGCCTCTTCCAGTTCAGCGGTGAAACAAAGAATAACAATTGGATCCATCATTAAAAATACACTTAAACAACCCAATCAACCCATTATCAGATTTTCATCATAAATATACAGTAAAATATCAACTATTTTACAGTATCAATATATATTAAAATGGCTACTCCTTTGCTTATTTTTTTGCTGTGCATGTACTGATCTTGTGTCATGGTCTTTTGGATGGATACCCCTCCCCCCCCATATCCTTTGTTTTTCTATTGTATACAGAATATCTGAAAATCATTTCAAAGCACCTAATAGACACAGATCAAGATTGATATATACCCAATGCCTTCTTTAATTCACATTAACCTTCTTCATAACAATCCCCTACCTTGATGTTTTTAAAAGCTCCTCCATCACTGTATGGATTGTAAACATCTGCATGGTGGTTCAAATCCTGAAGACTCAACTGAAATGGAAACAAAATGGTTATTAGGTAGCCATTGGGAATGTGTCTAAATACCAGACACTATAAAATGCTAGATTGAAGCATTATCTGGTTACACTATTCTGGTATACTCAGTAGTTCAAAAAATACTTTCTTTACTTTATTATAATTAACCAAACCAAAAACTGGTTTACAAATAACAGGCTTATGGAACTTTACATACATCTATTAATTGCTTTACTGTCATTGTCAAACAATAAATTGTTGCCATGCAAATTAGTGGATGGCAAAACATATGAAATTTCCTATCGATATAAGTTTTAAAAGCTACAAAGTCAAGTAACAATATACTTGATATATTTCTCCGACCTAATTACATATAAATAACTCGGAGTCCGTAATACCAAATTTGACACTCATTCACACAATATCTTTTTAATCAAAATAACAAATTGCTACAACAAATGTTACACCTATTGATTTCCTTTTAATATGTATTTTACCAAGATTAGAACTATTGAAAGCAAACTCAAAAGACAAGTGATAAATCAAAGAACAATTTGTACTAGTGGAGTTTCCTTTTTGATTGCATGTAGTAAAAACAAAAATTGTATATACTGTGGATTCATTTATTTTCGTGGGTATCAATTTTCGTGGATAGAGAAAAAAAGACGTTTCGTGGTATACGTAAATTTGTGGATCGCTGATTACAACAAAAAAATAAATTCAGATACGTAATTCGTGGATTTCTTTTTGATTTAGGAGATCACATAACCTCCTTGGTTTGATCAATAATAACACAAACAAAAAAGAAGGAATTCATTGAACAAGTTTTGAATTGTCAAAATCCTCTCTTGGTCATTCTAGGTTAAAGTGTTCATTGAAAACTTCTACTACAATAATGGACAGAGACAACTAATTATTTGTTTGTTTTACAATTTATAAATTCTTGTCGAAATTTTATAAGGCATCCAAAACTATGATTGAAAGCTCATTTCCCTAATCACGATATAATAAACAGTCATATAAGTAAAAGGTGTGAAAATAAATGTTCCTGTCATAAACAATATTACCTACGGGCAATATACCCGAACTTAATCCTATTGATTTTTAATCACCAGTAAACCAAACTATGACACGGTAATTACCAAATTTTCCATGAACAGTTTTAATCAATTTTAAAAAGTAAATTATCACTGATATTCAATATATTTATTATTGATTTAATCAAAATACTTGTATCTTCTTTCAATAAAAACATGTGTTATGTTACCATGTTTATCGCTAGTCAACATTATACTAGAACTGCATAACATAACCGGAAATAAACATTCGACTCCATACACATTTCTCGGGATTATTCTTCGTTGAATTCTTAAATTCGTGGTTCGCTGTGACCCACGAAACTCACGAAAATTGGTATACCACGAATAAAAATGAATCCACAGTACTGGACAGTGATAAACAAATGATGATTTATCTACATGTAGCTTACTCTGTCTTGAAAAAAAACACTATTTATTTCCTTTTAATATGTATTTTACCAAGATAAGAACTATTAAAAGCAAACTCAAAAGACAAGTGATAAATCAAAGAACGATTTGTACTAGTAGAAGTTTCCTTTTTGATTGCAGGTATTAAAAACAAAAATTGTATATACCGGTACTGGACAGTGATAAACAAATGATGATTTATCTACATGTAGCTTACTCTGTCTTGAAGAAAAACCACTAAGTTGTTATCTTTAGTTAAAGGTTTCACATAGGACTGTTGAAAGTCATCTGAATTAATGGTCTGTCCTGTGTAGCTCTGTGGCAGATCACTTAATCCCCTGCAAAACAATAGGGAAAGATACAAACTAATACTGCTTAACATCTATGCATTGTTACAATGTACTTTTACTACAAATGTACTATATTAATATTGCTCTTTATAGAAAACAGAAAACATTCATGAATTATAAGCTAATTTTGATATTCCACTGACTGAGAGATCCGCGAAGGGAGAAAGACAAAATAAAGGACACTGATCATACATGTATGTTGGAGACTTTTCAAATTAGCTTTAAAAGAGTTTTGGATCCGGGTAAACTAATCGATTCTTTAAATAAACTTATTCCAAAAGGTTACCAATTCAACACTGTAAGGCCAAATAAAAATATATGTGTGGTTCCAGTTATATCCTGAAAAAAAAATAGGGTCGGTAGGTTGGCTTTTTTTTTTTAAATTTGTCTTTGGGATTGTCAAAATCCGTACAAAAATTGTGTGTTCACCGAGGTTGGGTATTAGACACATCCCTACCGGAAGTTCACCATTTTCTATATGTTTGGTTGTAAAATAAACAGGCATGTTACGTTTTTAGTAAATTTTGTTGCATTCTGTTAAGAATTTGTTGCATTTTTAGCCGTAGTGGATACTTCTACTGCAAATTCAGATGACAAATTCACATTCCCCAAAATGAATTCTTCAAAATTTATTTTACAGAAATGGAAAAAAAAGTTATAGGGTTGGTCGGGTTACTGGAAGCACATATATATTTTTATTTGGCCTAATTAGAACTTCGAATATTGTTTTTATTGGTATTAAAATTGATTTTGTTATCAGTAACTTAAAATCAAACAAAATATTATTTTTATATACATATATGCACATTCATGGGCTCTACAATCTGTCGATACCTGTATCTTGGAATTGCACAGGGTCATGTTTTTCTCTGACTGTTAATATATGGCACCTTTACACTAAACCCATTGGATGTTGGATGAGTACTGATTGATATTTTAGTCTTAGATGCATGATTTTTTATTAGTTGTTATTGGCTTTGAACTAGCTGTCAGTAACTGCGAGTACTCTCAGATCTGTACATAGTGTCTTTTTTGTTGTGAGGATGTATAAGTACCCTTCCACATCTGGTCTGTGTTTTTGTCAGATGTATTTCTGCTTTGTATCGATCTGATGAGTTAAGACCTTTTCAACTGATTTTTATAGTTTATTCTTCAGTTGTACTGTTACACCACTGTCCCAGGTTAGGGGAGGGTTGGCACCTTCAAACTAGTTCAATCCCGCCACATTCTGTATGTGCCTGTCCCAAGTAAGGACCCTGTAATTCAGTGGTTGTCGCTTGTTGCTGTTAATCATATTTGTTTTTTCGTTCATTATTTTGAACATAAATCAGGCCATAAGTTTTCTTGTTTGAATTGTTTTACATTTGTTATTTCAGGGCCTTTTATAGCCGACTATGCGGTTTGGGGTTTAGTTCATTGTTAAAGGCAGTACGGTGACCTATAGTTGTTAATTTTTATGTCTCGTCATTTGGTCTATTGTGGAGAGTAGTCTCATTGGCAATCATACCACATCTTCTTATTTATGTATATAAAGGGGATTTTGATGCATTCACAAGGTGTGAAAAAACCTCATCACTATTTCAGAATCTGTGTTACTTGACCAATGCTTTTATTACATTAGAACTATTGATGTCATAAAACAATATTTTTTGCATTGTTGCATCAGTCATTTTCTTTTATAATGTCAAAGTTTTAAAAGAAACATCTGTTGGTGGCCAGCAATGTCTTACAAATAGCGATAAGGTGTATGTGTCCTTGAAGATGTACCTTTATACCTTTGTCTTCGGGTAAAAAATAAGCCATACAGATCCCTCATCTTGAAATGTACTTACGAGAATTTCTCCAAGAAGTGCAAAATAATATTAGTATAAATACATATAAAGAATAAAACTTATATAGGAATGTGCAATTAACATGAGCTTATACAGGTTCCAGTTCTAATATTTAAAGCTGACTTAAAACTTAAAAGCATTCAATTACGACACCATTACAGACATTAAGTAGATATAAGAAGATGTGGTATGAGTGCCAATGAGACAACTCTCCATCCAAGTAAAAATTTATAAAAGTAAACCATTATAGGTCACAGTACGGTCTTCAACACGGAGCCTTGGCTCACACCGAACAGTAAGCTATAAAGGGCCCCAAAAAATTACTAGTGTAAAACCAGTCAAATGGGAAAACCAACAGTCTAATCTATATAAAAAACGAGAAACGAGAAACACTTCAATCTAATTAAAATTAAATCTCCGCACTTGCTCCTCGTTGTTTATATGTCGCGCGTGGGAGATCTAACAACAGCCGCTTGAGGGTCATGTCTAGGGTCAAATTTGGTGAACTTTGACCGACCAATCAGCGTGCAGAAAAATCAATTTCGATTAACCAATCAGCGACGGGCTTGTAGGGTGCGACTTTTTACCCCAATATACCCCAACATACCCCAATATACCCCAATATACATCAAAAAACAGTTTCAACAAAATATTATTGAATAATAATAGCAATTTAGGCATTTCCATGTTATTTTAACACCAACAATACTTTATTTTATAAATATATTTAATTTTAAATCACTTTTTTCATTGAAACTTGTTCCGTTCTTGTCAGCCGCTTACGATCACAAAATGACTTTTTACCCCAATATACCCAAATATACTCCAATAAAACGTTTCAGTGCAACATTCATGTTCTGGAATGATATTTTAACCATATTTATTTCAAAAAAAAATCCTATGCACATTTGTGTGCATTTAGAAGCTTTTTAAACTATAGTTAACTCGAATACTGATAATGGTAGCACTAAAGACCAGAATGGACCTGAAAATATACAGGGCAATTTTTAAATTGCAATTTCTTTTTCACTCCTTCAAATTTAAGTTTTATTCAATAACATTTGTGTTTTCTGAATTAAATTTGAAATGTTTTTTTCATACATGTAGATAAAATTAGAAATATTTTACTCATGTTTTGAAATATTTTTTTCAATTTTGATTTTTTTTTCTCATATTTATATTTTTAAAATAATTGTCTCAAATAAAATTTGAAAAATGTTCTCCTACATGAAATAAGATTTTCGAATTTTCATTGAACAAATTATGTTTAATCATCACATGCTTAAAATTTACGTAAACTTGGACGGACCAGAAACTACAAAGATGGTAGTTTTATTTATATTTTTCACTTTTCAATAGATAAATTTCAAATTAAAAAGTTATAAATTCCATTCATCTAGACGGGAAAATAATTTTTCTGATGCCACGACTCAGGACTGAATGGGGAGATTTAAAGACTTTAACGGACATCTATCTTACGGTTGGATTCATTTAAACTTAAGAATTATTTATTCATTGGATTTCCTTCTTATTTTAAAGTCGAGGCTAGTCATTCAATTAAAATCAACCAAGTTTTAAAGAATTATATGTTTGTAATAAATAAAAAAAACTTGGACCTAAACGTTAACATTGAAAGACATCAAGACAAGAAATTCTGTATATTTTTTTTTATTTATTTATTTTCATAAGTAATCACTAATTCCAACCTTTATAGTTAGGACTGAAAACGAGAAAAAAATATTTTTAGATGATAGAAGGAGGTATATCTAAAAAAGTCTGAATGTTCCCGAATTGTATCTACCATTCTGCAGATAGCATATTTAATATTTATTCGAAGAAAAAAGTTTTTTAAGCCAACACTCTTCTTCTTCTTCTTTGATATAGTAGTTAAAAAAACTCAGTAATGAGTACTCAATACTTGTGCGTTACGTAGGTGCTGGTAATGTCTATTTACAATAAAAGACCAAAGATAAAAAAAAAATATGGTGCATGCTGTACAGTTGGAGCAGGATAAAAACATTCCTTCATCTATGTAATCAGTCTTGAAAGCTTCCATATAGTTGGAGCTTTCACTGTCGATTTCGGTAATGTATTCCAGGCTTTTTGAGAGATAACTAGTACTGCGTGAGAGTCCTAGAAAATAATGCGGAGTGTTTCTCTATAGAATGATGATTAATTCTGTTCGCTGATAGGAAATCCGACAAGTACACTGTTTCAATTATTTAAGAGTATGTAAATTTATATGATTAACTGAATTGGAAAAACGATTTTCTTTCTCAAATCTTGTGGAGTCCCCTGGATATCTTAAACTTTCTCCTCTTTTAACAGAACATCAAAAGCATTTTCCTCGGACAATTGTATCATTCAAGTTGTTTAATTCTTATAGAATAGCTATATATACCTTTGTAATAGCAAAAATGCGAATTTGTATAGAAAATTTTATTTTAGAAAAAAAATCAAAATCATTCGAAAAAAAAAACACCAATTTTTTATAACCCGATTAATTCACTCCTCGCCATATCGATATCTCCTATACTTATGACGTACCCGTCATAGAGCACAGAAATATAAAGATTGAATTAGCAAATATGTGTCTTCATTTTTTTCTTCCTCAGTCAACGATTAGTAAGACACAAGACACAATTCAAGTTTCTTTTCCTGATTTTAAAAACAATTTTAAAGCATTCTGAATATTAATAAAGTAGATGTGAGATATTCAATGAAACAGCAATCAAGATATATTACAGATTTTCAACATTCTTCAATCATGATAAATAAAGCAGCCAAGATATTTGAGTGCACTCTTTTTTTTTATTGATAAATTTTTTTGTGCTTAATTAAAGATTGTAAAGTGCCGATTTTTTTTATGCATAATACTTTTGATATGTTCGCAATGAAAAAAAAAACCCTTTGCCTCAGTAATTTCAAGATTTTATAGTGTATTATTTCGCCATAAATACAAATTTTATTGTCAATTTAGCGGTATTTCTAACATTGCCTATAAGAGAGAGATTTGGCTTGCCATAAAACCAGGTTCAACCCACCATTGTTAAATTGAATTGGATTCACTGTAACTCCATTTACCGGTAAATTTCATTAATCTCTTGGACAAAAAAAAACACCTTTCTCCGACATGGATTTTTTACCTTTACAAGC